CGACGTCCAGTGCGTCGCCCCGTTCATTCCTCTCTGTCTCGGAGGGCGCGGAAGGGTGCGTGTGTCGTCCCCGGGCTACGCCAATCCCTTCCCCCTCTGTCGCCAGACCCCCGGCAGAACAGACCCCCGTGGAACGCTCTGCCTTCCCTGGTCTCTTCTGTCGGGGAGCGGGTTTCGACGGTGCATCCGGACGGGGTAACTCCTGCACGCATGCCGGTCGACCCGCCTCGCTGCCCCTCCGGGGGGACGTCTGTGGTTCGCATGACCCCGTTGGCTCACTTCCTGGAAGCCTGGCTAGCGCTTCCCGGGTATCCCACTGGGTCATCAGAACGATCAGATTCGGCTACGCGATTCAGTTCGCACGGTCTCTTCCCCGCTTCAGGGGAGTTCGCTCCACGATGGTTGGTGGCAATGCCCCAGTCTTGAGAGCGGAGATTGCGACCCTGCTGGCGAAGGGTGCAATCGAGACGGTCCCTCCAGCCGAGGTGAGGTCCGGGCTTACAGCCCCTACTTCATTGTCCCCAAAAAAGACCGGTGGGTTACGACCGATCCTGGACCTGCGCATTTTGAACCGTTCTCTCCATCGACTACCGTTCAAAATGCTCACGGCCAAACGCATTTTCGAATGTGTTCGGTATCAGGATTGGTTTGCAGCGATCGACCTGAAGGACGCGTACTTCCATGTCTCCATTCTCCCTCGACACAGACCGTTTCTTCGGTTTGCCTTCGAGGGCCAGGCATACCAGTACGCCGTTCTCCCATTCGGGTTAGCTCTGTCCCCTCGCGTCTTCACGAAGATCGTCGAGGCAGCCCTTGTTCCCCTTCGCGAACACGGGGTTCGCACCCTGAACTATCTCGACGACTGGCTGATACTAGCACACTCTCGAGCTCGGGTTTGCGAACACAGAGACCTGGTGCTACGGCACCAAGCCCGTCTGGGCCTTCGGGTCAACCGGGAAAAGAGCAAACTTTGCCCCGTGCAGAGGATCTCTTTTCTCGGCATGGAGATAGACTCGGTCGCCATGTCCGCGCAGCTCACGACGAGCGCGCGCACTCACTGCTGGCTTGTCTTCGACAGTTCGAGGGCAAGAGTGTGGTTCCACTGAAACTATTTCAGAGGCTCCTGGGGCATATGGCATCCGCGGTACGCCGTTCGGTTTGCTTCATATGAGACCGCTTCAGCTGTGGCTTCGCGATCGAGTCCCGAGGTGGGCATGGCATCGCGGCTCGCTCCGAGTTCCAGTGACTCCGACGTGCCGCCGAACCTTCTTCCCGTGGTCGAACCTCAGCTTTTTACGGACAGGGGTCCCTATTCAGCGAGTTTCCAGGCATCTCGTTGTCTCCACGGATGCGTCTACCACGGGTTGGGGTGCCATGTGCAATGGGCATGCAGCCGCCGGTTCCTGGACAGGAGCCCAGCGCCTCATGCACATCAATTGCCTCGAGCTGTTGGCAGTACGGCTCGCCCGGCACCGCTTCCGAGCGTGCTCAAGGGCCAGCATGTGCTTGTCCGCTCAGACAACACTACGGCAGTAGCGTACATCTACCACCAGGGGGGGTCTACGCTCGCGCCGGTTGTCGCAGCTCGCCCGCCACCTCTTGATATGGAGTCAGAAGCACCTGAGGTCCCTTCGTGCAGTTACATTCCTGGAGACCGGAACCGGGCAGCCGTCGAGCTGTCCCGGGCCCGTCCATCTCCGGCGAATGGCGACTCCATCCCCAGTCGGTCCAACTGATTTGGGACCAGTTCGGGGAGGCACAGATAGACCTGTTCGCCTCTCGGGACTCGTCCCACTGCGCCCAGTTTATTCTCTGACCCGCGGCTCTCTCGGCTCGGATGCGCTGGCGCACAGCTGGCCACGGGGCCCACGCAAGTGTGCGTTCCCCCAGTGAGCCTCCTTGCACGGGTGTTGTGCAAGATCAAGGAGGACGAGGAGCAGGTCTTGCTGGTAGCCCCCTACTGGCCCACCAAGACGTGGTTCTCCGAACTCATGCTCCTCGCGACAGCACCTCCTTGGCCTATTCCTCTGAGACCGGACCTACTCTCTCAGAGACGGGGCACTCTGTGGCACCCTTGTCCCGATCTTGGAGGCTGCACGTGTGGCTCCAGGACGGGACGAGGCAGGTTTGAGTTCGCTGCCACCTGCGGTGGCGGCAACCATCACTTCCGCAAGAGCGTCGTCCACGAGACACCTTTATGCGTTGAAGTGGAACCTCTTCGTCAATTGGTGTTCTTCTCGCTGAGAAGACCCCCGGAGATGTTTGATCGGAGTCGTGCTTCCTTCCTGCAAGAGGGGTTGGAGCGTAGGCTGTCGCCCTCCACCCTTTGGATTTATGTCGCGGCCATTGCCGCGTCTCATGATGCAGTGAAAGGTAAGTCTATGGGAAGCATGACCTGGTCATCAGGTTCCTGAGGGGAGCGAGGGGGCTAAATCCGCCTCCCTCCCCTCCTGCCCTCTGGGGACCTCTCAGTAGACCTGGGTGCTCTGCAGAGGCCTCCCCTGGAGCCTTTGCAGTCGGTAGAGGTTTTGCCCTGTCCTATGTGACAGCACTCCTGATTGCATTGGTCTCCATCAGGAGAGTAAGGGAACTGCTCGCACTCTCTGTTGACGAAGTGTGCCTGGAGTTCGGGCCGGCTTACTCTCACGTAATCCTGAGACCCCGGCCTGGATATATGCCCAAGGTTCCTACCACTCCCCTCCGGGACCTGGTGGTGAACCTGCAAGCGCTGCCCCTGGAGGAGGCAGACCCAGCCTTGGCACTGCTCTGTCCGGTACGTGCTCTCCGCACCTATGTCGACAGAACGCAGTGTTTCAGGACCTCAGACCAGCTCTTTGTCTGTCATGGGGGGAGCCAGAAGGGAAGGGCTCTCTCAAAGCAACGGCTGTCCCACTGGATAGTGGATGCCATTGCTTTGTCTTACCAGTAGCCAGGCCTTCCGTGCCCCCTTGGTGTGACGGCCCATTCCACTCGGAGTGTGGCCTCCTCTTGGGCTTTAGCGCACGGCGCCTCGCTAACAGACATCTGCAGAGCTGCAGGCTGGGCGACACCCAACACCTTCGCCAGATTCTTTAATCTGCGAATTGAGCCGGTATCCTCTCACGTACTCGTTTCGGCCAGTTCTGGATCCGCTCAGGTGTCTTCGCTTGCTCGCCACTCCACTCCCCGGACTGGATAAGTGCGATATTTCCTCAGTTCTTCCATTGAAGCCTTAAGTCCTCCAGCACCGACGATGCGGGCACCACTGCTGTGGCTCTGGATGCTGGCTAGGTGCCTCCATGCGTACGGTTCCCCCTTGGTAACCGTCTCATGTGTATTATCCACTGTAAGCCTCTCTGAGCATGTGTCTTCCCTTGGCAAGCCATCTGCCACCCCTGGAGCTGAATTTAGTAGCCACCTGCGGTTGGTGCTCCAGTGATTCCATATGTGTTCCTATGTGGCCATATGTGTATTCGTAAGTCCTCCCTTCGGTAGGCAGCTGGTAGCATGTCCCCTTCGGGATATGTTTCCCAGTGTACCTTGGTAATCCTGTGTCTAAGTCGGATCCCCTAAGGAAAACAGGTAAGGCTCGGGGGTTCAGACTTTCGCAGGGCACTGGAAGACAGCCTGAAGTTGGCGTGATGGCACAGACCCCCAATCTCCGTCACTTCTGACGTAACTCGAAGTGACTACGAAAGGGAACGTCTCGGTTACGTATGTAACCCTCGTTCCCTGAGTAGGGAACGGAGACGTTACGTCTCCCTGCCACTTCTGCTGTATCGCTGGGTAGAGGCCGAGTTCAGTCTTGGCTCCTCAGCGAAGACATACTGCGGTTGCGTTCACTTCCTCCTTTTATACTCACGGAGTAGGGCGGAGTACGCTATGCAAATTTCCGCAGCCCCAAGGCATTGCATGCCATTGGCTCGTGTTTAAATACTCGAAGAGGATTGGCTTTCTATGCGAAACCCCCAATCTCCGTCACTTCTGACGTAAAGTCTCCGTTCCCTACTCAGGGAACGAGGGTTACATACGTAACCGAGACGTTTTATGTCTTGTTTCCAGTCCAAATATCATTGTCTTGTTTTCAGAAAAAAATAAATCAAAATTAAAGGAAGTTTTACTTGAAAAAAGCTAAATAATCTGCAACATTTTCTGTTTGAAACAAGATTATTTTGCTTTTTGGCAGATTATTTAGCAAAGGTTTTTGCAGTGTAATCCTGTCTTTTTTGTGTTGAGTTTTTCTTCAGGTTATTAAAAGTTGTAAATCACTATCAGTCATGCTTTCCTCCCATACCTCTCCACCATTGACATAGTCCAGGACAAAGTACAGCTTCTCGGTGGTCTGGAAAGAGTAGTGCAGGCCGACCAGAAATGGGTGTTTGAGGCTCTTGAGCAGAACGTTCCTCTCCGCCATTATATTCTTCTGCTGTTGTACAAACACACACACACAGCGTTGGCCGAGGTAAGCAGGAGAATACAGTCATGAGCCAACACAGTGACAATGCTTACAGCCTCAAGCTTTTCAATGACAACACAATCATATTCTGTAAGCAACCTTAACTGTGCTTGTGTTTTAGTACACACTGGGGCCATTTTCATTAATTATACTCCAAAATCAAAACAAATGGTAAATATTAGTCTGTAGTATACTACTGTAGTAAATAAAAAGCCCGTCTTTTGGCCAGCAAGTAAGAAATCACCATGGTACAAAGGACAGAGTATTAGATTAGCATTATCAGAGCAAAGGTGTTTTGATCTTTCATATTATGCAACACTACAGTCTTGCAAGGGCTGGTTATATGGACAAACAAGGTAACCAAAACCAACACAAACCTCTTTTTTCTTCAATATAACCTTCTTCTGCAAAACCTTCACTGCGTAGAACTTCCCGTCTGCTTTCAATTTGGCTAAGAGCACCTGCAACCCACATGGTATCTTTTAGACACGGTTGTGGATAAAATAGCAGTTCTGTAACTTTTAGTCTTGTATAGGTCACTTATGCCCAGTGGAAAACCAAACACAACTTCCATCAAGGTAACCTTACTAGGCTTCCTTCTGAAGTGTTAATCATTGGTGAAGTCATAAGGCACACTGTTAATCAGATAGTGGCGTCGGACGCGCCTCACCTTCCCAAATGTCCCTTTACCAATCACAGCCAGAAAGTCGAAGTCGGTGGGTTTGGCACTGAAGCACACAAGACAACACAAACTCTAACGGTATGCATCACAATCACTTTCTGTGCACATAAAACCATTAACTGTGTTTATTTGCACATATGACAGGTTTTTTCTCTTGACAAATAACTAATAAAACAGGGATCCATCTTACTGAGGATTGACAGACACACCCAGATTGACCTCGTCTGATGGAGACGCTGATAATGGCTGGAGGGGACATCAAACGTGTGTTAAACGGCATGGCTAATCTAGAAGCTGAAGCTGTAACAGCGAAGAATAAAATGTTCTTACTGGATTATAATGAGCCATCTTGTGTTCCCGCAAGTCTCTCTGTCCTGAGTGTGAGATGGATGTGTCCACCAGCACTGAGCTTTATGCTGGTCCGGCTGAAGGAAACTGGATGTTCAGGTTTGGGTGACACAGACCCATGAAGGACGTTTGGGAACTCAGCATTAACGAGTTTACACAGTAAATACAGCTTTGCAATTCTCCTGCAAATTAGGACTACGAATAAACACTATGTTCTGAAAGGTCACATCTCTTCTTGTTAGTGTACAGGATCGACTAAACGTGTTTTTCTTTGATAGACACAATGGAGTAAAGCAAAACGATCTTATAATCATAATCATTAAGTAAGTTAAGTCATGTCTTTATTCGTCTTATTCAGCTGTTCATTGGATGGAAACTTATGACCTTTATTAATAATAATAATACTAATAACTCACATAATAATAAAAGTATTTTATATGCACTGACAAGCTGTTTGAATGCTGTATTTACTATAATGATAACAAATAAAAACTGAGTGTAAACAACACGATTTTAGACAAAAACATGCATTTAAAATAATTTGTTAAAAATTGAACAGCTCTGAGAAACAACTTACCTGACAGCGTTAAATATGTAGTTTATGAAGTTTTACTGATAAAATGTTGAAGGGCATAATTGTCTGGCCGTGTCTCTGAAGCATCGCGTTGCGCAGCCGTGTTTGGCTGGAGGCCCGGGTGAATGATCAACTCATGTGTGCACGACTCGAGATATGAGAGCCCGCAGGACAGCAGTGCACGCGCACGTGTGTGTGTGTGTGTGTGTGTCTGTGTGTGTGTGCGTGTGTGTGTGTGTGTGTGTGTGTGTGTGTGTGTGTGTGTGTGTGTGTGTGTATAAATTCAACTTGTTATGCTCTGGACACAAATATGTCCCCAGAAATGAGTTATCTGACAAAACTTCCATCTGGGGTCATTCTCATTAGTAAAAACAAAGTAGTCCTAAATCATCTTTTGTTTATGATTTTATGAAAATGTAGAACTGTCAGGGCGTGGCTTTGGGTTAGTCAATATTTATTAACTGCCTATAAAAACAATAGAAGATAACGTGTGTGTGTGTGTGTGTGTGTGTGTAAAGGTTGTGTAGGTAGTAATTTTATAAAAAAAAAAACTTGTTTCCAAATTTGCTTAAACTTTCTATATATATATATATATATATATATATATATATATATATATCTCAATGCATAATTAAAATGTAAGTACTCTGAAAAAGAAAGTATAAAAATCGAGTGTCTGTAGACCTCTCACGACTGTTTTAAAGACAGCTCATTATTTCCATTCACTTCACCCCCTCCCTTCTGGGCTCATTCCAAAGCCACGCCCCAAAAACACATGAACGCGCAACTCCGACAGCTGAGCTGAACAGCTGAAGACGCATTATTTACCTGAGACGAGCGGAGAGGAAAGAGCTCGGTGCATGTAGTGACATCATGTCAGAATCACATGTAATAAAAAAATCTAACTTTATAATTATGAACATAAACAAATAAGATATATTGTAGTACTCACTATCAAGCTATTGGTAAAGTTTTAAATATATATTTATTGATTCGATAACCAGCTAGTCATCTATACCCCAAGGCAAAGCTAAAAACAAGTTGCATGATACACGTTTTTCCATTGCCATCATTTACACTGTGATGAAGATGTATTTCGTGTAAGATTCATAACATATATTGTGTTCGGCACGTAAGAGTTTCCACGATAAAAGCATTTTTGACTCTGATGAGGACAGTGGTGTTATAGCATATGAGTCTTCCCCTACCGTCCTAGGAAAAAAATATCGCTCCCCAGATGTAGATGTACATTTTGCTTCGTTTCGCTCGGACATTTAACGGTGTGTACACACACGCATAGCTCAACATGTGTATAGATAACACACCACTTGACTTGAAAATGGCGTGTATGTTTACGCAAATGTCGACACTTCAGAGACAAGTAGCCTACCGCATCGTCATAGACTTATGAAGGAGCACTTCTTGGAAAAGAGGACCTGCGTCGAGTTTTGCATCTTCAAGCTCAAACAAGGGCATGTGAACAGGTATCTAGATACGCGCAAGTGGGCAGGTCCTGCGTGGCAAAAGGGGGGTTGCCATGGTTGCGAGAGAGTGACAGTTGCCTAAGCCAATCCGTTTTGAAATAATGAGCTGCGTTTAGTGCAGTAAAACGGTCTAGAGTCACTCGATTTTTACACTCTTTTTTATCAGAGTACTTACATTTTAATTCTGCATTGATAGAAAGTTTAAACAAATTTGGAAAAAAAGTAAAAAAAAAAAAAAATAAATAAATAAAATTACTACCTACACAACCTTTAAGTCATGAGGGACTTGAGGGACAAGTTCACATTTTATGTCAAGTTTAGGTTTAGAGTGAGGTGCTTCTACATCAGTCATTTCCCTCTGATTTCAGGGAAAGGTTATGGATAGAGTTAGGTTTAGGGGAAGGGATAGGGTAAGGAGTCCGGACTACATTTTGGGACAAGAATATTATTCCAGGATCATCCAGGAACATGGCGGGACTGGCGCAGACTGTTGGCTAGTTTACATCCAACATGCTAGAAAACACAACCTTTAAACCTTCACTACAGTACACTCTTTGCCTACCTTTATGGAAATAGATTGAAACCATGCTTAAAATAAATTAGGCTGTCTCTGTTCCCCAATCTGGCTTTATGAGAGGTATGGATATAGCAAATAATATTAGCCTTGTGGATAGATTAATCAGTCAACTAACTGTCATCCTGTGTTAGCCGTGCAGGATAAAGATGAAGGAGATCGAAATAACAGTCTTTATTATGCTTTACAATTTCAAGACAAACACTAGAATAAACTCAGGAACAATAACGACACCATATATTAACTAGAACCGAACATGAGTAACTAAAACACAGGTTATAAATACACAGGGCAAACAAACTAATCAGTAACCACGGAAACAAACTGTGTTCAGGAACACAGGCAAACAGGAACAGAACAAAACCAAAATAAAACAAACTGAACATTTTTTTTCTAATAAGAAAAATACTTTTATAAGACCTTCGATAAGGTTGAACGTGTGTTTATGAATCTTTGCGTAGGGTTGGATTGGGTTCAACTTAAATATTTCAAACATTTTATAAAAATAACTATGAAAAGACTAGCTGGTGTCTTTGGCAATGGCGTTTGCGTTGGTGTTTGTGATCCCCTTTTGGTTTTTGTTGATCACTGAGTTTCTCAATATTTGTATAACTCGTAGATGTTCAGGGTATTCAACCGGCGGATGACACCTGTTTATTTAAAAGACGAGAAGAGAAACCGGTTCCTGTTATTTTGGATGCTAGAAATGTATTTTGAAATGCATCTGGCCTCTCGGTCAGTCAAAACTAAAGCGATTTAATGCCTGTCGACAGACTTGATAAAGAACATATAGAAGATATTGAGTTAAAAAAAGCTGTTAGACATTTGGGCATTTTAATAAGTAGCCTAAATCCCCCACTGATGAAGTTTAGTAGACCGCTGTGCTTACAATATTACAATATAAGTCTTTTGATGGAGCATGAAAATAAAGTGTTAGCAGATATTAAATAGTTTAATACTCTGAGTTACTAATACATGAAGTTACAAAATTACTTAAAGTTAGTAGAAAGTGGACTTTCAACATAACGTTTTAGCCAGCCACACCACTAAACACAAGCAAAAACCAGACTTGAAATAAACATTTATTCATGTTGATGAACTGAACGACATTGTTACTCAACTGTACATTATTAAAATTTCCCATCAGAGAGAGAAACATAGATCACCTAAAACCTAACCTCGGTTACTATTTAGGGTTTCCATTCATAGAAAAATAACAACACTGACATGACAATCCAAACTCTGTAAAATAGCTCATTTAATCTCCCTCTAGTGGCTCCTCAGGTAAAGTGCATAAACACCATCAGGGCGCTAATAAAGGGGACAGTAGCACCAATCAACTGAAATCTGCCCTGATATTTCACTTCACACACTGAGAACAAATGTAGATTTCAGTTAACACTCCAAATACAAAAAAATCCTGCGTGGTGGTTTCAGATCGGGTTGTTCTTTATCAGAACGTGTCATTTCGCTTTTGAAATAAAGCAGAATCGAAGCTCAGCTAGGCTGTACTGTTTCATGTTTCGTTCATCCTGCTCTAGTTCTCTCTCTCTCTGGTGGGTTCAGACGTTAAACACCAAACACGTGATTAGATGTCGGATTCTGAATGGATTGTTGCGGCATGAGGAGCTGGGAGACGAGTTGCTCACTTCAGGCCTTCGTCTGTGCTCTTGAACACTAAAATGGCGTTGTGAATCTTCAGCGCTGGTCCTAGCTTTATATTCATGATCTTCACAATATCATTTTGAGTCAGAAGAAGGAAGGACTCTCCATCGATCATCTGCAGAGAAAAGTGAAGCTGTATCAGTGACCAGTGGAAAAAGCAACTTCAAGCGACATGTAACCAACAATAAATTCATAGTTTGGATTTTATTTCTAAAATGTATTGTAATAGAAACATTTTTCTAAGAAAATGTGAGTGGTGTTGGTGTTGTAGTGTGTTAGCTGGTTGCCAAGGTGTTGCTAAGCATAATTGTTATGCTGTTAGGCTATTCTGCATCTAAATTATTTTATAAATTCTATTCTGTTCTATAATAAACATTGAACAGCGAATGTACAAATTTGGTAAACTGAAGCTTGCATGTTTGTTGGCGAATCGACGAAGTGTGCACGTCACGCTTCTGCAAAAACCAATGAGGGTTTTCATCAAGCATCTACGGTTGAGCTTCCGCTGAGCAAACAAGTGCTGAGGTGATGAAGATGTGTGTTTGTAGGCCAACCCGAATGTCTGCTTCGCCCTGGTTCCCTTGACAAAAAACCAGTAGGATTTCATTTTCCCATTGGTTTATTGAAAAAAATAAGTTCTGTGAACAAACAAAAATCTTATGAT